CCAGTGTTGGGGGTAACGCATTACAAGTAACGCAAGTTACGTAATCAGATTACTTTTTTCAAGTAACCAGTAAAGTAACGCATTACTTTTTAATTTACAAGAAAATATCTGAGTTACTTTTTCAAAAAAGTAATGCCAGTTACTTTGTTTTCCCATTTATTGACTGACAGCTCTCCTGTCCCCATGTTGAGAGAAATCGGGAGTACAGAGGCGTTGTGTGCGCTGTGTGAACATGATGTTACTGTAGTTCTAGACTAAATGTGAATGTGCATTAATTCATCCCACGCACAAAAAAACAGATTTAGTATTCATCAAAATGAATTAAAACAGTGAAATGCAAACTCAGAATATGACGCAAACCTGCAATAATTAAATATGTTAAATAACACAGATGTATCTAATCCCATTTTATTAACCAATATCTTTGCTGCTGACCTTTGATGATCCAGTTCAACCATACTAATAAGCTAAAATGACTGAAACTAACAATTGTGCTTTGTTTTTTTATTGCTGAAGAGTGTTTCTTCTCCTGCGTTCTACTGTACAGACGTGAATTTACTTGTGCTTCAGCCTGAGGTTTATTCATTACACTTTTTGGTGTGAAAGGGCTTTTATATTTGCTATAAATAGAACTTCTTATATTAAAAACAATCAAGCCCTGCTTATATTTAAAAAGTAACGCAAAAGTAATATAACGCATTACTTTCCATAAAAAGTAACTAAGTACCGTAATTAGTTACTTTTTTAGGGAGTAACGCAATATTGTAATGCATTACTTTTAAAAGTAACTTTCCCCAACACTGGTTATTGATTCACTAAAACTGGTTCTTGAGAGTCATTCATTCGGAAATCAAACGACACTGTCTGCTGTTTACATTTATATTTCATTAAGAAGAAAAGAGTCATTTGTTTGACATTCAAACTACAATAGTTTTGCCGTACATTACTGATAGGCCTACACAAAAAACGAAAACGGCTCGTATGAGTCATTTGTTCGGGAATCGAACTACACGATCATCACGTTGTATGTTTTCGATACACAATGAAATGATCTGCTCACGATTGCTTCTCGCTTCAAATTGTTGCTTCACAACAACAACAAAAAAACACAGGAGTACTGTACGTTCATTATTCAATAAAAAGAAGCGACTCACAGATATTCATATATGACAAACGGACTACATAGTTTGCACCGCACGTTCTTGATTCACTCTACCCGGCTCATAAGAGTCATTCGTTCAGAAATCGGATCTTTTGATGTTGTAAGTTATCTAATATTTTAGATTTAAATTAATCTTGTATTTTCCACCAACATACCTGTCTGTACCACACATATGTTGTCAAAACCTGGTTCTTCTCATCCTGTGTGGCACAAAAATATATACAAAAGAATAAACGCAAAAAGTCTTAATTAACAGACAGTTATAGTTTACATATTTAATAGACTTTTGAGACCTCTACCCACCACATTAAGAATCGCATAAACCATTAGGTCAATGGCCACCGTCGTTGACTGCCTCCAGTCGCGCACTGGTCGAACTCCTTTCTTATATCCGGCACTTAAAAACTCATTTAGTCGAACCAGAGTGGCATTGGCGAATCGCCCAGTGTTATTGCTCAGCTTCTTCACTACACCGAGACAAAAGATTAGCCACTTATCACTTTTACTTCATTCAGCTTCAGCATGAAAAGGTTCAGCTGTCAGATACACGTGAATGCATATTAATTAATTAATAGCAATATTGATGGTGTCTCAAAACCTAGAGAGCTGTCTAATTTAGATGATAATGACCAACCTAGTTTCCTTTGATGACCAAAAATGCTGTCTAGGTTGGCAGCTCACTAGGTTTTGAGACACAGCCCTTGAGTCTTAAGCTCGTTTAATGTGAAAGTACAGCGCTTGTTCGTTTGAAAGCTCAAACGCAATTTGTTTTTATAATCAAAATCAAAAATAAAGTATAAGAGAAGTTACCTGAGCAAGCCACCACCGCCACATACATGCAAACGCAGAGAGCTGTCCAGGGTGCTGAACATTTCATTGTGCTGAGCCGTTTAGCGTTGCTCTGGGTTCTTCTCGCAGGCTTCTAGCCTGGGGCTGCTTCCTTCCAGTGATGCACCCTGAGCTCCATTAGTTATCTCTGAGTTTTCCATAAGCGCTCGGACTGTGTCATAACGGCACTTAGTCCACCCTCCCTCCCTCTTCTGTATGATCATCCCACAGCTTAGGCAGGTCCAAAGCACTTCAGCTTGTCCCAAGAGATACAACGGAGAGAATTCACTATATAAGCATGACAAGCATTGTGTAGCTACTCTTGAAAAGCTAGATACAGATAGAGTTCTATTTCTTCTAAACATTGTACTTCAAAAACTATTTATTCACAATTATTTTGTAAACAGCATGTTCTATTAGGCCTCATTATCATGTTAAAAATGGAGCATGGAGGCAATGGGTTATTTATTTGTTTAAGATTTTAACTATAACAGGATGAACAACATAGACATCGTCAAATGATGATACTAGTGTTTTTCTCTCTCACATTAACTCAACAGCGGACGGCGCATGAATTACAGCTACCATTGACATTTCATGGGTCATATTTCACCACCAAGTTCAAGTCAATTTCCATGAGCACTTAGACTACTACATTAACTGTGATCTAATACTTCACCCAGCCATGATGAGACTTAATTAGCCCGGCAATAGGCAGGTGATTAGATTTGCGTCAGGAAAATATTATCAGAATTTTGATGAGGAATTGAATTAGGTGCTTTTTTTCTGACTGACCTGGCAGCTCTGAGAAGCGATGTAATGAAAATGTACTATAATGATAGTGATGTGAAGGTGATTGTGGTTTATTTTTCGATAAGGAAACTGGAGCTTGATATATGATAATGTTACAGTACAGGGAGGGGCATATAAACGTACGTTCTTCATTCTCATGTTATGTATAATTTTTCAAAGAATGCTCTGTAATCTGGCCCTTGAAATGACATTTGTTTGTGTAAACATATGTAGTAAAATTGATTCCGACATATTAAATAATTTTCCATGTTTGAATTTAATAAAACCAGTTAATTTAGTTAAGTGGATTTTGATTACCTAGTAAACCAGTTTTACGATAGCATGATTTTTATTAACTGTTTTATTTATTCAGGACGTGTGTATTTATAATAAATTATTTGTTTTAGCAGAACAAAATCTCAAAACAATACAACTTATTTTGCAAAGCACTATTTATTTTAGCACGTTGATGTTCAACAGTATCATTTATAATTTACAGTATTATTTCATTGTTGATTCCATGTACTTGCTTTACAAATAAAAAAAAATCAAAACAGTTATAGTAAAATGCAAGCGTATATAAAATGTAAGTTAAAGTCACAGCATCTTAAGATTCTACATTTGAGTTTAAAAAAAAAAAGTAAATCTCCACTTGAACATATGCCATTAAAAGTAGATACTATTGCCATTCATACCTTAATAGAATATTAACATAAAAAGTGACCTCCATGTTTATGAATGGGGGTTTATTTCAGTGACAGTCCCTTATCATCAAGTGCTACAGTTAAAACAAAACATTTCAGTGTTATTAGTGAAAAGAAGAGAAGCATGGAAGAGAAAGACAATATTCAAACATAAATTTGTTCATTAATTTGTTTTTCTTTATTCTATGGCAAACAATCACATACAACATGAAGGCAATTTGCTCACAACTAGTTATGATTTTTACATTACTTAAAGTATGTTTAACCATGTTTTACAAATAAGGACTCCACCTATATAAATCTCGTTTGGCAAACTGGGCTCGTTTTATATTATAGAGTCAATCTACAGAAGAAAATCTGAATTCATGTTAATAGTAGGTATCAAATGTAATTAATTATACTTTAAAACTAAAACTGCAGTTGTGAAATCTGTCACTTTCTTTTAACTTCCTCCATCCCCTCTACTTCCGTTTTGTCCTTCTCTTCTCATTACCCCTCTTTTTCCCCAACCACCTCCTTCAGACTTTCAGGCAGAGCTCCAGACACCCCAGAGCAGCAGTAGAGTCATGACATAGATGAGCATAATTAGCAGGTACACACAGAAGAGGAGCTTGTCCACTTTCAGGCACAGTTCCACCCAGTAAGACTGTGAACTGCCCTCATTGTCCTCCTCCTGAAGGTACAGTCTGAGAGACACCACCTCCTGCAGGATCTTCTCCAGTGGAGAGTCATTGTTTGAGACTTCTGTTAGAGAGAACAGGTCTGGCTCTGGAGAGAGATCAAATTCGAAGCCTGGATCAGAGAGAGAACACAATTATTATTTGTCGTGGTTTTCTCATGAAAGGCAGAGGAGACTGACACAGAAGAGAAGAAATTGTTGAATAAAGTCGTTATTTTTGTTATATTTGCGGGAAAAAACGCATTCTCATAGCTTCATAAAATTAAAGTTGAACCACTGATGTCGCATTGACTATTTTAACAATGTCCTTACTACCGTTCTGGGCCTTGAACGTGGTCATTGTGTTGCTGTCTATGCAGGGTCAGAAAGCTCTCAGATTTCATCAAAAATATCTTAATTTGTGTTCCAAAGATGAACAAAGGTCTGACGAGTTTGGAATGACATGAGGGTGAGTAAAATTAATGACGGAATTTTCATTCATTTCAAATTTAAATCTTAAAATTAAAACTCAAGCTTACAGTAGGCCATCCAAGATGTAGATGAGTTAGTTCATCATCAGAACAGATTTGGAAATATTAATAATTTGATCATTTGCTCACCAATGGAACCTCTGCAGCGAACAGGTGCCATCAGAATGAGAGTCCAAACTGCTGATAAAAACATCACGATAATCCACAAGTAATACACACAACCCCAGTCCATCAAATCTGCTGTTTGGACTCTCATTCCGATGGCACCCATTCACTGCAGTGGATCCATTGGAGAGCAAGTGATGTAATGAATAAAAATAAATGAATTGACTGCAGAATTCAGTGACTGGCCAATCAGAATCATTCATGTCAGCTGTGTAATAATGAATGATATTAACACATTTTTTTGGCATTTTCACCTTTTATTACGATAGGACAGATCAGAACTGACAGAAAGCACAGTGGAGGAGAGAGAGGGGGGCAGAATCAGGAAAGGTCCTCGAGTTGGGATTTGAACTCGGGACGCCCATAGCGCAACAGCACTGTATATCGGCACGCTGCCCACAAGGCTATCGATGCTGACACAAACTTTTTTTCATCTACATAATGTTCTTTTATGAATAAACTATTGGTCAATGTTAATGAATGTTTGTCTATAACTCATTTTATTTAAACGTTTTAAAATGTATTAATATATGCTGAAATTAAGAAATGAATAGACATTGTAAAAACATTGTTCCTAACTATTTCAAAGTATAGAACCCTATTGTATAAATAGATAATATTTTCTCTCCTACCTCCGGACTGCTCCATATCATCCAGTGTCTTCATCGATGTGAAAGCGCTCTCAATAAAGCTCTGATCCATTGAGCCGTATTTGTCTAGTAAGCAAGCGGACATGGACATCTCCTTGATTTCCTTTTCACTGTAATGCAAAAGCTTCACTACGAAAATGGACATTGCCAAACTCAGCACCAGCAGTGCCATGCAGACAGCGAAGAAGACCGCTGTGGCAAAAAGAGCAAACATTATTGTCAGAAAGGTGAGGCTGCTGTCCATCAAGAGTGTTGTTAATAGGTGAACATTGTAATTAGGAAGACCTCTAACTGTACTATACCAATGAGGGGTGTTTTAATAGCGGTAGCAGGGATTTCATCCATCAGATTGACTCTGATTACAGTGAAGCCCAAGAGAATGCTGGTCTTGAAAGTGATGCGAGTGCCACTGTTCGGAGGCAGATAGAAGCTGGTGACATCCACCACCATGAAGAAGATGCTCGGGATGAGCAGACTTACCACGTACAGCAGGGGGCGCCTGCGGATCAGCACCTACAGAGAGAGACAGAAAGGCTGGAATTGAACGGGCTCTCTCTGGGTGATATTTATTCCATTACTTGCCCTCAGAGAAATGTGCTCACGGAGCAGACTGAGATGGCTGTGACTAAAGAGGAATTACATAAGCTTAAGCCTTCTCCTCATTTCCTGGATTTGCTAAATAAGTCCAATTTCTCATTCTAGAGCTGAAATTGTTTTCCCACACCTCAGCTCCCCCTGAGAACCCAGACTTGATTCTTGAGCGTCCTGATCAACCTCGCTGCCACAGAGTTATTTCCTCTCGCTGCCCCTCATCTGGATCAGGACCATCCATTTCCCTTTCCTTATTTAAGGCTGCTTAAGCTTCCACAGTACAACAAAGAGCAATTTCATACCGACTTAAACATGTTCCCCACCCATTTGGCCAATGAGTAAAAACACAAATATGGATCCCTAAATGGCTTTGGCAATGAGCCGCAGAGCAAAGGTAATCAAAGTACACAGCCGTTTCCATGGTGTGCGCATCTTAGTGGAACAGGGTGGATTGCCCACGAGCTTTGAGCTGTTGGCCCATTCCTCCCACTGAACACGATGCTCATTGATCAAATGCCAGAAAGACAGTCTCATTATCATCATCCTTTCTGTGTGTTGTCTGCCGCTAAGCCTCATCTGTTAGCTTTAGTGTGACTCCCCTAACAGCCATGCAAAGGTTGCAGAAGGGTTGTGACATGTCAGACTAACATCAATACTCTAGCTAGCATGTCTGGCCTACTGTTACGTGCCTAATGTCTCAGTCAGGGTCCAAAATGAACATTTGTCAGACTTTAAATGCAAGTCAAATTTGGCAGTGGCGAGTAAATAAGAAATTCTAAATATATTAAAAATATTTTTATAAGAAAATGCAATTTCAATTCAAAATAAACAACAATATAATATAATATTTTTCAAAATAATTTTAAATTAAATTACATTTGATTTTGTGACCCGAGACGGTGGGATCCAGCATCCCTGCTGAGGATAAACAGCTTGGAAAATGGATGGCTGGATGGATTACAATTGATTTTTAAGTATTCACAATATAAAGGAAGTAGTAACAGATATTTTTGTTGTGACATACATCATAAGAGTACCACGATGCTGCGCCTTGTTTACAAGCAGAGGAATGCACACGCATGCATCGTGATACTCTCGTGAACGCTCGTTCTGACACAGAAGAGAAGAAATTGTTGATTAAAGTCATTATTTTTGTTTTCTATGCACACAAAAAGTATTCTTGTAGCTTCATAAAATTACGGTTGAACCACCGATGTCACATGGACTATTTTAACAATGCCCTTACTACCTTTCTGAACCTTAAATGTGTCAGTTGCGTTGCTGTCTATGCAGGGTCAGAAAGCTCTCGGATTTAATCAAAAACGTCTTATTTTGTGTTCCGAAGATGAACAAAGGTCTTATGGGTGTGGAACGACATGAGGGTGAGTAATTAATGAGAGAGTTTTCATTTTTGGGTGAATTATCCCTATAAGCCTTTTGTTTCACAGGAAGGTTGTGTTAAGATGTTCTCACAAAACGTAAACTATATTATCGCACAGGTCTACTGTATACATAAAGTCAAATATAACAATAATATGTCCAACTTTATCCACATGCATACAGATTATATCATCGCAAAATGCAAACTATGTTATCGCCTATCTCTAATCTAAATGTGACTGTAAGGTATAAAGATATCATGAAAGTTGCTTTGACGCACTGTGTTTTGTGAAACGCACTATACAGATAAAACTGAAATTGAAAACTTGAAATGTAAAGCTGCCAGTGAATGTCCTTTGTACTGATTGAATAAGTTCAGGATTAATTCTCACATTAAACTGAATCTGTGCGTAGTCTCTGTCCTCTAGATTCAGTGTCCAGTAGTGAGAAGGGACAGACAGCAGCTCCCATTCACCATCATTCATGAACTCTCTCGTATCATTGGCGATTTCCTCAGCAGGCCTCCACAGAGCTAAATCCACTTCATTCACTGCCAGAGAAACACATCAGCAGTTCATTGTGTTATTGTTCAATTAAGTGTTTATGTTGGCAGGTTTGCGAGGAGCTTATTTAAAATATGTCAGCTTTTAAAAGATTCTAACCAGGGCTGATCAAAAACACTCAGTAATCACAGCAACTCTCATTATACGGAGGCCAGCTTGTGTACAAAGCACACGCTGTGTACGAGTGAATAATTTACCTGAGTGGAGCCAGCTGCGAAAGGTCAGAGTGCAGTTCTGCTTGTCAAAGGGAAAGGCATAAATCTCCAGGTGACAGGCTGAGACCACCTGGATGGGTTTGTAGTTTTTTACTGTTCCTGAGCAGTTGACATAAACATATGGGATGACTGGGGATTTGCCAACATCGACGCTGGAGAGATAGGAAGACATATGATGCAATGAGAATATAACTCAACAAAATTCATTTCCAGAACACAAAAGGAGCTTGTGATGCAGGCTGGAGAGATACATCTATCATGTACATACAATTCACTTATGATGACATCAGGCACCCAGATGGCATCCGAGGACAGCGATATTTCAGTGATTCCATCAAACTCTTCAGGATCCCAAACAAGAAACTCATCGTTCCATATCTGAAACATTAGAGTAATGCGGTTTACTGTTATCACCTAGCAGGTCCCATGAGAAAGATTCAGATCGCTCAAATATCAGATTCCATGCATTTCAAAATTGTATTATTGTGTATGTGTTTCTTTGCTGGATCTGTCTCGTAAAGATAAAATTAAATGTGGTTTATGAAACCTGCTCATTCGTTGCATTCTTCTTTTAAAGGAATAAGACATGCTGATTATGTGGGCACTCAGGTATGTATATAATGTGTAATATATACTGATATATTCATATACTGGTCTATTGATAATATTTCAAGTAAATATTCAGGTAAAAGTCAAAGGACAATAGGTTTGATTTCAAGAGGTTACAGTGCAAAAACACTTAAACAATCTGCATCAGACTAATCTGAATAAAGTATGTTAGCCATATACAATAATGCTGCTGTGTATTTTCGTAGACAAATTAATTGATACCAACTTGGCGATACCAAATGCTGGTGGTCACTTTCTGAGTCTGTCCATCCTGTGAAAAGATGTGCAAATTTACTTTATTTTACTGACATAGAAACACACTTTAAGAACTGTGCAATTCATTTATTTAGTTAACAACTTCTAACAGTTAACATTCCTGTGCATTGCATGTAAAAAAGCTTGGCATAAAAATTGTTCATTGTCTACAGTACAAGTAATACAAGTAATCTCTCTAAAGGTTGAAATGCGCTCACCACATCTAGGACAGATTTGATTATAAGGTCAATGTAAATGGTAGTTGGTTTGGTCCAGTTCTGGACAGGCCGGACTCCACAGTTATATTTGCGAAGCAGTAACCTGGTGAGTTGGTTCAGAGCAGATCTCTTTGGTTTCTCTGGGACTAACTCAGCCTGTGGAATAACTGTACAGAAATGTTAATCATTGCAGATCTTGCTTCACTTGGTTAAGTTAGAATTATCAGTACAGTTTGGTAGCATATAGAATTCAGTCACATTCGTCGTTCCATAGTATAAAATTCACAGTAAATGTCATTCACAGATAGGTTAGGCGGTTGCTTTTTAAATAGTCTTAAAATGTTTCTAATTTTGTTCCATTTTTTGAATATTAAATGTTTATGCAAACAGCATCAAAAGTTATGCAACATGTGTAACTGAAAGATTGTATAATTAATATAATACAAACAAGAAAAAGCACTGGACTTACCTGAAAGTAACAAAGATAGCAAAAGGACAGGACTCATCCTGACAATTAAGAAAACTGTAAACAGCTTCAAGTGGTTTCCACTGCCTTTGTCCCAGCTTTTAAAATTTTACCCTATCACGAATTGTGTTTTATTCCAGTAAAATGCTATGGAGCATCAGAACGGTCGTTGTACACATGACTGCAACAAATGCACAGCAGCAACTTGCTCACCACTCTAGCAAATTGATTTTCCATTATGACGGTAAGAAGATCTGGGTTCAGTGAATAGGATGTGTACTCTGAATGCTCAATTCATGGACCCTAAGCATAGTAAACTAGAACATAATGGGCTATAAAACATACAGAATCATAATTATACAATTATGTGTTATCAGTAAAATCATCTTAAAATACATATTTTATTTCTTTATTTCTTATTTATATATTGAGCAGGAAATTGTAAAGCTGCTTTACAGAATTAGATCAAGAAAAACAAATGTGTGCATATTTTAAGGTCATTGTAATGTGGTAAGGACATTCTTTATCAAGAAGTATTTGACAGTTAGCAAATACACAGTAAATACAGTGTGATATAGTGTAGTAGCCATTAAAATTATACAAGTTTAAGCAGGTTTTTCTTATATTTTCAATAGGTTTTCTAATAGTCAATTCATAATTTACGCCGGAACGCCTTCCCTGTATGACAGATAACGGAAGTGAGAGAAAAGTGTTTATTACGTTTGAAATATGGATATTTTTCTTACAAAAACGCATGGATTCACTACAAAAGGCCTGTATTCACACCCTGGAGCAATGTGAGGCACGTTTTATTATGAATGCGCGCGCTTTATTTGACGACTTGTGGACTGTTCAACTGCAACACCCGCTGACTGCAATGATAGAGCTTGGAATAGCCAGGACAATTTTTAATATAACTCCGACTGTATTCGTCTGAAAGAAGAAAGTCATATACACCTAGGATGCTTCGAGGGTGAGTAAAACACAAGCCACTTTTCATTTTTGGGTGAACTAACCCTTTAAATTAGGCTATTACCACATTCTGTCAGACTGCAGTAAGCTTATCATGAAGAATATGATTACTTATTATTGGTCCTAAAGATGTGGAGAGGTTATGTATTTATATTAATTAGTTATTAATTTTATTTACATACCCTAACTAAAGTAACAATATTTTCTGCCATAAATGTCAAGTTACTACGGTGCAAGTCACACTGTCTTCAAAGAAATTAAGCTTCATAAACTAAGGAGAATCCGTATTAATTTAGTAACTGCAATTACCAAATTCATGTGAGATGTCTTTCAAAAAGTTTAAGAAGGTTTATCATTTTGTTTAGCGGTGACTAAATGCTATTTTACCATATGGTTATGGCTAAATTAAATCGTTTATTGCCTATATTTTTCAGCAAACCAAAATTGACATTTATTTTAGTTTAATCCACATTACCTCTGCCTAAGTGAGGCTGTCATGATTAATAGGTTAGTCAGTTTTCTTGACGTTTCCTGACTGTTTACCAAGCGCGCTCACGATGTTTCCCAGCGCGAGCGTGAGTGTGTGTGTGTGTGTGTGTGTGTGTGTGTGTGTGTGTGTGTGTGTGTGTGTGTGAAGGGGGGCGTTTGGAGTAGGTCAAACTCTGGAGTCAGGGCGAAGCCTTGGAGAAATATTCTTTTAAAAAGTCATTGCCATGAGAGTTGAACAGGATTTTGAACATGGGGAAACGTCTGAAAACTCGGTGAGTGTGTTGTGTTTTACAGAAAATGTATTAAAATTAAAAATAGTAACACGGCTTGTGTTAATGAGATCTAGACACACAGCAGTGGCTGTCACCGTTTTATTTGCTTTAAACAGTTAGTAGGTGTTGTAGACTGGTTATATTTGAGCAAACGTTTAATATTTAATTTTACAAATATGTTTATAAAATCTTAAACATATGCTATTGGAATTTCTATCCTAATTTGGAACCCATCCTTTGAAACCCTTTGGAACCCTTTCTCATTGAAAAATAATTTGTGCAGTTCTGACAAGCATTACACAAAATTCCGAATCAAATATAGTATCCAGAATCCAATATCCAGTTTATGCACTTGTTTGATTTTTAGATGATTATTTGATCCCATTAGGATTGTTTTCAAATTATGATAAAAACTACCATAGGAATCTTGTACAGACTGAGATTCTGTTCTGAAGGGTTTTAAATGTTTAAATTTGCATTTTCCCCTTAAATGATGTTCTCTTAAATTTCCCTTCTAAGTTAAGTTTTTAACTACTCAATTCTACCTTCTGAATGAAATCTAGGAATTAGTGAATTTCCTTGTGTTTGCTTGTGTCACTCGAGCTCATCTATGATAAACACAAGCGCTATCTGTGTCGAAGGCCCAAAATAGAGCTCTGAGTGCCACTCACAGGCCTCCAGCTCACCATATATGTCTTCTGCTCCCAGCCTAGGGTGTCTGGCTGCCTCCACAGCCATGCTGACATTCCCACCTGCTGTCAGAATGTCTTTATATAGTTCTGTTGCTCCTGCATCTATTATCTGGGCCACAGTCTTTTTTTTTTATGTTTACATGCCACATGCTAAAGCCTATTTTCAGGCATACTGTACTTGAAAAAATCAAATCTGATATGGATTTAATAGAAGATGTAGACATTTTCATGCCCAAGGCTTTCATAACTGTTGATCGGGCCAGCTATAGACTCCTCCAGCCCACGCTCATTTGACACCTGAGTCAGAAATGAGGTTATGCTGGGTGATAAATCCAAGTGCAAATTGCGTCTCATATCATATTCTTGTTTTGATCAGTTCACACCTGCTCTTTTTTTTCTGTAACGGATCCTGTTATTGAGTGGTTAATTGCTCAAGTGGGTCTTGTTATCACAAACAGAAGTATCCTCAATATGCCTGTGGCAAAGCATTTGAATTTTTGATCCATAGAAATTAAAAAACAGCATGTTTGCTTGTCTTTTTCAGAGCCAAACGCTGCTTAACCAGCTCAGAGAGATTACTGGCATTCAGGATCTGCAGGTTCTCCAGAGTGCCCTGAATGTATGCTTAGTACAGCAGCACTTATCCATGTGTTTATAACACGAGCAGCAGATGTAATGATACTGACATGGCTATTGATAGAAAATAAGCCTGACAAATGTTTGTAAATATGAAAATCATACCATGTGCGAGAGTTTCCCTTACATTCAGCGGTGAGGGTTTGGTAACCTAGATGTGGTACTAAAACAAAGCATGTGCTAAAACACAGCAAAACATGTTCATGTATTTCAGTAGGGATGACTAATTGTGAGAAAACTCTTTATCCAGGCTAGTCAAGGTGACATCAGCCATGCCATTGGGCTACTGACCACCCAGCCCCCAGAAGAGGAGCACATGCCCGAAGAACCAACTAAAGCCAATAATGAGAGGAACACCTCCAATACACAGAACGGTGGGCTTAAACAACACTATTAATATCAAATGACTTTCATGTCACCACATTTTCCAAAGATGAACTTATTTATATAGCAGTGTGACAGATAATGTCATGTTTATTTTATGCTCATGTAGTATGGACTTGTTCTCAGGTGCTGCTAAAGATGATCTGCAGACCGCCATCGAGCTTAGTCTTCAGGAGTCACAGCAGGCCGAAGCGGAGCAGAGAGAGCTGCACAGGTTCATTACCAATAGGGGCAACTGTAACATTTTTACACTTTCCTTCATAACTCATTGACTACTACAAATGTACAAGTCATCTGCTTTTTGTATGAGAAATATTTGCATGTGCCAAAAGTACATTGCTGTTCCAAATGATATTATTACCGTTATTCAGCGAGTACACATGATTTCTGAGGAATCATGTGACACTGAAAACTGGAGTAATGGCTGCTGAAAATTCTGCTTTGCCATCACAGGAATAAATTACATTGTAATATATTAAAATAGAAAATTGTATTTCATAATAATCATGTTGCTATATTTTGGTCAAATCAATGGCAAATAAATGAGACCTCTTTCAGAAACAAAAAATCTTACCGACCCCAAAGTTTTAAAAAAAGGTAGTGTACATGTCACTGATTTTGGGTACAAGTAACTATAATTAATCAACTTGTAATGAAAAGGACTATATCATATTATAAAACTTCTAAGAACATACTTCTCTAATAATTGTTACAGTACTTGGGGGCAATTGTAATAGTTGGAAGACAAATTATATGAACAAACCGAGTCTCAAATAAGAGCACACCTTAAAATAATATTATTTCTTTAATGTTAATGAATAGTTTTTGCTGTTCTATAATACTATTTTTAACTAAGAAATAATGTTTCAAAAATACAGTAAGTATCTGAAATAAGTTAAATTGTCTTTATTTAAATATACTGATCAGCCAACAAGTCAAAAACAGTCCTCAGTAGGGCTGGACGATATGGCCAACATTTATATCACGATATATCACTGGTAATGTATATCGAAATATCGGAAATGTGTTTAAAAATCATATCACCGTTATTGAAAAGAATTATATCGCGATACATATTGATATTGAATTATTGTCCAGCCCTAGTCCTCAGCATGTCAGTTTACAATTAATTTTAATGTGTTACAGTTGCCTCCAAAATCATTCATGTTAACTTTCAAACAACAAGCTGGTTATCAAGGGCATCAAAACAGGATAATTTATTGACACCCTCAAACATTATTTCTCAAAATAATTTAAAGGAAAAAATAGAAAAAAATTTGAACACCCTTTTCTTTGGCAGAGAGATGGAATTTTATTAACCATAGCCTAAGCAAGTGTCATGACTAACCTGAGTGTGAATGAAACAGTTCAGAGCATTACAATTGCTTCTCTCTCCTGCTACAGTGGTGTTGTGTGAATTTAGAAATCATGGGCAGCAGTAACTATCAGACTCTGGTGTTGACTGTCTTACCTACTCCTGTTTTTACTCTAGGGCTCTTGAGGTTAGTGCAGAAGAGAATGCGGCCTGCATGAAAAGAAAGAGGTGTGAGGGGTCTGGAGAGAGCTGCAGCCCTGCTGACTGGATCCGACAAGAGGACTGTCCTGTGGGCATCCGTAATGTGGGAAATACTTGCTGGTTCAGCGCTGTCATTCAGGTGCGTGGAGTTTTTAAT